TTAATTCTGAGACATTTCGTTTAAGTCCAATGTCCTTTCAGGTCTGATTTCTCGTTTTTTTTTGTTTGTTTGTTTTTGTTTTTTCAAGCTGGTAAATTAGTTTGCAGTTAGGGTCAGTTCCCCTGATCTGCTGTGAAGGACAGTTCAGAATAACCTCGGTTCAGAAGTTTAGTCTATGTCTTTATGAAGCTTGTCTCTCCTGTTTCGGTGTTGTTACCTTGAATCGCCAGCAGGTGGTGCTATCTCATCTGCTCGCCCCAGAGGGGGTGGGGCCGGACAGGAACAAGATGGCTGCCTGCCTCCAAGCAGGCAACAGGATCCCCGCGCCGGGTGGGCAGGACAGTCTCCGTCGCAGGAGCGGTGGCAGCGATCCCAGCTGATCTTCCCTGAAGCGGTTTGATGTGGATCTCCTCCGGCCGGGTTGTGATGAGCTACCCGTGCCAGAGGCCGCGGCGGGCGCGGCGGCGGCGACGGCGGCGGCGGCGGCGGCGGCGGCGGCGGCGGGAGCGCTGGTGGGGGGAGGGGCTGCGGCAGCAGCGGGAGAGGACGATGCAGTAAAAATGTCCAGTCTTTGCGATGTTCCAGTGATAGCGATGGCCGAGCTCTGTTTGAGGAGTAGGCTGCGATGCTGGGGTCCCCAGCCTCCCGGGGGCGAGAGTCAGAGACCCACTGCAGATCTCCCTTGCAGAGGGCTTCAGACACCGGGTTGCCAGGTCGCCATCTTCCAATTCAATCGAGTTTTTCTTTAATTTTTGAATTTAGAGACCCAGAGGGAACAAAAGCAACAGTGATTTTTTTTTTTTTTTTTTTTTTTTACTTCTATACAAAAGTGAGAGTAAGGTATAAGTTCCTTTTGGCATTATTACTCTGCATTTTTTTTAGAGATAAATTCTTTATTCTACTTCTTTTTCTTTTGATTTTGTATCCTGCAACTTTACTAAATTTATTTTATACTTTTATAAATTTTTTATTTTAAGGATGTGGGGTACAATTCAGGGGTTATGTATACAAACGTTCATTATCCAGGTACCCATATTGATGAGGCGTGCCCCATTTACAGTTTAGGAAAAGAAACTAATCCTTGCTTTTATTCTACTTATAAGCATATACAGTCAAAGATTTTTGGCTATTAAAACTTTGACTAGAATTCCATGTATGAAAATTATTATTAAAGCTATCTTTTAAAATCATGAAAATTACATGATAAAATTTGAAAACCTATTCTTGATTTAATAATATATATTGGTATAAGAAAAATCGGATTTTAAAGGCATAGTGCTTAACTCACAAGCTGATTTAAAACACATTTGTAATTTTACAAATCTATTCTAGAATGATAGATCTAACATGAACCTAAAATATAATGAATCTCTTGCCTCACTGCATTCTCACAGCTCAAAGGAGGTATAAAGAGGAAATTAACAGGGGCAAACAGGTTTATATTTAGGATGTTTTGGTAAAAGAAACTAAGTATACTCTTTTTTTTTTAGTCTTACCAATATCATCCTGTTGCCTTGCCTCTAAGTAACAAAACCACAGGTATTCTCTAAAGTAATTTTTAATGTTTGAGTTATTTTATCTATAACTAACTAAATCCATATGACTACAGTTTGAACTCATTCACTTTGTAAACAGATATTTGCGATCCATCTTTCCCACAATAATATTTTCATAAGTAAAAGACTACTTCTTTCTTTCCAATTTGAGTGGGAACAAACTTTAATGACATTACCCTATAAATAATTTTAAGATTCTTGGCAATGACAAAATTCATCTCAAAATGTATATGTGAGTGAGACAGATGAATCCCTACTAGCATTTTGGAATAACTATTCAGAATATAAATGCTACAAGGCCTGCTAGAAAGATTAACTTCAATTCACTCATCAAAAGTTATTTTTAGAAATTTTCTATGTTTTGCCATAGACAAACTTTGTTTGACTTTAGGAAAAATATCTTCTAGTCTTGTGATAGGCTTGTGAATCAGGTAAAGAAAAATGGACTGATTGCAAGTTGCATTAATGCAGACACCCAATGTGTGCTGGTGAAGAGAAGGATCTCCACCTGGAGGAAAGGTTCTAAAGTTATGCTGCAGACCTTTTCTCTCAGTACTGACATGTTCAAATCTGATCAATAACAGAACTATCAATTCTGTGGTCATGATAGAGACATGATATTACAAGACCAAAAAAGGAAGTAAGAAAACCAAGAACACATTGCCATGTGCATGATAGGTTATACATGCCATAGTGCCTTGGTCCCATGGCTAACTAAAAAAAGCAGGGTCTTAGAGTCAATGATTTGTATTCTTATCCTATCTAGGTGTGATATTGGACACATATCTTTAACTTCCTTTAGTAGTGCTTGAAAATTGTAGAGATTTAAAGAAGACAATATATAAGAATCTTTTGGAATTAAAATTCTATTGTTCTGGTGCCTAGCACTGTACCTTTTACACAGCAGACATTTAATTCATGTTGATATTTCCTTTTTCTCATGCCACTTTTTACCTTTTCCAATATCGAAAAACTAAAATTGGGTGCAAAACTCATGTCCAGAAATTAATATTTGATTCTCATTTTAATTAATTGTTTGTTTCAACAGCAGTAGATTTTTATCAGGATTTATAGTCAAGATCAATTACATTAACTATAAAATGTTTCCAAGTATTCTAAGGTTTTGTATGGTTTTATTCTCATTATATAAATTGCAACAAAAATATAAATAGCAAATTTCCTGTGAGACTACATTTAACCATGGTAAAAACAACAGCAACAACCACAAATAACAACAGTAATTTTCCATTTTTCAGATGTAGTATATAAACTAAACCACTTGCTCTGGGAGAGTACCTATTAAAACAAACTGAATCACAAATTTGGTAGCACACTTCCTTAGCTGTGTTTTAATAATTAGATTGTATTTTGTACTATTAATATTAACGTCTACTTGAGTTGTCTTGTCTGAACTTCCCAGCTGTGGTGATCAATATAACATGGTCTGTACACATTTTTTTAAAAGACGGTTTGCTGTGCAGTACAGTACTAGTACATGTTCAGAGTAATTGAGAAAATGCTGAAATGCTGGCTTTGTGAATAGACTGGAATTTTTCCCCTTTTTTCCACAATAAATTAATCTTTATGTACTTTTTTGTAATCAAAAATGTTCAAATTATTCATATGACTTAGACCTCATGTAGATGTTCAAGTTCACACATAATGCAGCTGTGATTTACCCATCTTTGTGACCCTTTCTCATTTCCACAATTTCACAACACATTTCCACTGATTTTCATGACATCTGTACCAATAATTTGTCATAATAATATGATTATTAGTCATTATTATTAATCATAAAACTATAATATCTCCTTTTAATCTTTTTTTATTATTATAATGATGTAGGATACAATTCAGGGTTCGGTATACAAACATTGATTATGCAGGTACCCTTTTTGATGAGGTGTGCTCCTCCCTCACCTAGCAGTTTCCCTCAACTGCCAATCCTACTCTCCTCCCCTGACAATTCCCCACTACTGCCAATCCCTATCTTATAGTATTATAATTCTTCAAGGTCCACTTATGAGTGAGAACACGTGGTACTCTGTTCTTTGTTTCTGTGATAGATCACTGAGTATGATAGACTCTAAATCCATTCAAGTTGCTATGAAGTTCATATGTTTGTCCTTCTTTATGGCTGCATAATCTTCCATTGTGTATATGTACTACATTTTTTTAATACCGTCCATATTCAATGGGCAACATGATTTGTTTCATGTTTTTGCTATTGTGAATAGAACTGCAACAAACATGCGTGTACAGTTATCTCTTTTGCAGAATGATTTGAGTCCCTCTGGGTATATTCCCAATAGGGGAATTGATGGGTCGGATGGAAGGTCAATTTCTAGTTCTTTCAGAAATCGCAACACCGTCTTCCAAAGAGTTTGCATTTCCACCAGCAATGTAAAAGCGTTCCTTTCTCTCCAGATCCTCACCAGCATCTGTTGTTTGTTTTATTAATGATGGCCATTCTTACTGGAGTTAGATATTTTCTCAATGTGGCTTTGCTTTGTATTTTTCTGATGATTAGTGAGACTGAGGACTTATTCATGTGTTTGTTGGCTGCTCGTATATCTTCTTTAGAGAAGTGTCTATCAATGTTTTTGCCCACTTTTTAATGGGGCTGTTTGTTTGTTTCCTTTTGGCACATTTGAGTTCCTTGTATATCATAGATATTAGGCCTTTGTCAGATATACAGTTAACAATTTTTTTTCCCATTCTGTGGGCTGTCTCCTTGGTCTCTTGATGGTTTCTTTTGCTTTGCAGAAGCTCATTAGTTTGATGAGGACCCACTTATCTTATTTCTTAAGGTATGGGCATTTAGGGTTCTGATCAGGAATTGGTTACCAGTTCCAATTTCCATAAGGGTGTCTTGTGTGTTTTCTAAGATTCTTATAGTTTGAGGTTTTACATTTAGGTCCTTGGTCCATTTAGAGTTAATTTTTGTGTATTGTGATAAGTAGGGGTCCTGTTTCAATCTTCTGCATGTGATCTGCCAGTTTTCCCAGGACCATTTACTGAATAGGTTCTCCTCTCTCAAGACAAGGATGCCTGCTCGTACCCTTCTTGTTCAACTTTGTGTTGGAAGTCTTAGCTAAGGCAATTAGACAAGAGAAGGAAATCAGGGGTATCCAAATAGGAAAAGAGGAAGTCAAGTTATCCCCATTTGCTGATGATATGATCCTATATCTTGAAAATCCAAGAGAATCTGTCAAAAACCTGCTTGCACTGATAAAGCAAAGTCTCGGGGTACAAAATAAATGTGCAAAAGATCATTGCATTCCTATACACCAAAGAAGCAAAGCAGGCAGAGACCCAAATTAAAAGCACAATCCCATTCATAATAGCCACACACAAAATGAAATACTGGTGCCTACCTGGGACAGCTGGTCAGCGGACGACTACATTTACGGGGTCTCCCGACGGGCCAGAGTCGTGACTTGCAGAAGAGATGAAATGTGGTCTTAAGGACGATATGAATGTGAAAGACTTCCAAGAGAACAAGTACCTCCTCAAAGTCACCCCAGTGATGAATCTGGTTATAGATGGACAAGAGATGATCATTCTGCAAGCCGACAACCTGAATACAGGGACGTGAGAGATGGTTTTAGAAGAAAAAGTTTCTACTCTTCCCATTACGTGAGAGACCGGTCTCCTCATAAAAGCGACGCTCCTTTTTTTCAGAGAATCACCTGTTGGCCGAAAGAATTCTCCACACAGTAGATCTGGCTCCAGTGTCAGTAGTAGAAGCTACTCTCCAGAAAGAAGCAAAACATACTCTTTCCATCAATCTCAACATAGAAAGTCCGTGCATCCTGGTGCCTTCTTCTACAAACGACAGAATGAAGGAAAGCCAGAAAGAGGTAGAGACCTGTCCAGTCTTTGAAAACATCAAGAGGCACTTAACCCTCAAGTTCTTCAGCAGTTCCTTCATCAGAGGTGTTAGACAAACCCAGTAGGCTCAGTGAAAAGGAACTTGTTGAGGCTGCAAACAAGTGGGCTGCTGAAAACTAGAGAAGTCAGATGAGAGTAGCTTGCCTGAAATTTCCGAGTTTGAGACTGGATCCACAGCACCGTTGTTCATTGACTAGCCAGAAGAACCCCAGTCAAATGCAACAGATGGCACAGAATTACTTGAAGACAGCCAGCTAACCAGTCGCTCTAAAGCAATAGCATCAAAACCAAAGAGATCGAAGATGTTTACAGACAAGACTGTGAAACTTTTGGGATGGTGGTGAAAATGCTGATTGAAAAAGATCCTTCATTAGAAAAGTCTATACAGTTTGCCTTTAGGCAGAATTTACATGAAATAGTGAGTAGTGTTGAAGAACTCAAGCATTTCATTGCAGAGTATGATACTTCTACTCAAGATTTTGGAGAGCCTTTTTAGGTTACTTGCTCAGACAAGAAAAAAAGAAAAACAATTTCTAGATTTTTTCCCCCTTGGATTGTGTAAATCCTTAATATATGGAATTTTTGTGATGAAGAGAAATACTTTATGATAGTTGACTATACTTTCAATATCAAATTAATATCCAAAATAGTCTGCTTAAAATATTTTAATTAGAATTGTTTTTCTACGTGTAGAGTAATTCATACTCAACTTTCTGTTTTAATAATGGGTCAATTAATTTTTCAAACTTTGAGAAAAAGAGTCCTGGAGAACAGTTTTCTATACTTATTCATGGTCTGTAATCTTCCACAGTATGTAATCATTTGGTCACAGGAGTGGGAGAGTAATTGACAAGTTAGAGATCATTCCACTTTTTTTTTTTTTTTTTTACATTAGTAGTCTCTTCGCATTTAATAGCAAATGATACCATGTGAAAATGTTAGAATTCTGAGTTGTGATATTATGGACTTGTTGCTTGCTTTTTCTTAGCCTTTGTAACTTTTAATATGTTAAAGTGTATTATCCTAAAAACTGAATACTTTGGCATCTTAGGGAATATTTGCTTTGAGAATAATTCTCATTCAGTGATAAAATAGAGCACTTAATTCTCTGAAAGTCACCTCAGAATAAAGCCCTTTTTCCACATAAATGAACTCAATGTCTTCTATTAAAATTATCCTGAAACTCCTAACTCTCTCATTATTGTGCAAACAATATTTTATATAAGACTAATAAAATGGCAATTTGAGATGATTGGTGAAGGATATCTTAAAATTAAGATTTCTCAAAATAATTTGTGATCAAAAGAGAAAAAATTTTGAATTTGTGGGAGTAGTGGGGTTTTATTTTTTCATAGGTCCATACTCTCCAACTCAAGAAAGAAGGTGATTATCTGTTGTTAAACTATTTACAGATTATTCCTTTATTAGTTTCTTTGTCTAATGAGCTTTTTGTTCTGTTACCTTTTAAAGGTTCTCAGCCTTTGAAAAGTATTCTTGAAAGAAGCAAAGTGAGTAGGCAGTAAGCAAAGTATAGCTACCCTTTACCAAGCAATCTATATAACAGTCCTTCATGAGTGAGCTGTCCAAACCATGAACTAATTAAAAATCAATCTGGACCGATTAGGATAGTCCACTAATTTCCTGGTCACTTCCAACCGCCCAGTGGCATTGAGCTAAAATATACACTTTTGTGGCACTTCTTAGTGAGGAAACCTTAAAAATCATGTTTGTTATTACTACCTAATTTCATCATCTTCCCATCCTCTACCATTTCTGCTCTCATTTGGATTCTGGCATTATTTTTAATGGCCTCTACTGATAATATCTATACTGTAGTACATAAAAATAATAGTAAAAGTGGAAATAGCAGTATGTGTAATTTTAACAGATCCTTTAACGGTGCCTCAAAATATGTACTATACCATCCTACAAATTTAAAAACTAATTGAGGATAGCAATTATTTTTTTAAATTTCCTAAATGAAACCACCTTAAATTTTTATTTTTGCCATTTAGATGTTATACTTAGCTAAGTTTTATAAAATGTAAGCCAAACTAAATCACAGATACCAACTCTGGTGATATTCTTCCTTAATGTGAGCAGTGATTTTCTTACCCACTTTAGACAGGCTAAGAAGGTACTGAACTTGCTTTTCCTTTTTTCCACCAATGTTTTTCTTTATCTTAAATATTCTAGTTCCAGGATTCAATTCCTTTAGTCAAGATGTCACAAGTTTAAAATAAAACTTGAGAAACTACCAAAGGCAAAAGAGTTGTTCACTTTGTTGAAATTTATTAAATTAGAGAATTCTCAGTGACAGATGCATTTAAATGTAGGTTCAACAGATAATTTCTTCTTCTCCCCTTACCCCAAACTACATTCAATATTTAGAGCTGTTTATAGCTTGCCATCAGCATTATTCTGGCAGGCTTGTCAGTGTTCAAATCTGTTTGGATTTTTTTTAAAGCCTTTTAAAGTCTAATTTTAGGATAGATGAATTCAGATGTGAACCAGAGTGTGTATTTTACAAAATGTTCTTGATTAAAGAGATTTGTTTGTAAGTTATTTGTTGTTTTTGAGTATGCCCAGTGGATGTGATAAAATTTTCATTGTCTTACCATAAAGCCTTGATGATCAACAAGGGGAAACACAGATATTATAAAGTTTTTGTGAATTTTGAAAGTGCAAAATAAAGCAACCATGTTGTATCTTCCTAACCAGAGAGGTGAAAGACCTTTACAATGAGAACTACAAAGCACTGCTCAAAGAAATCCAAGAAGACACAAATAAATGGAAAAATATTCCATGCTCATGATAGATAGAATCAACATTGTTAAAAAATGTCCAACCTACCAAAGGCAATCTACAGATTCAACGCAATACCCATTATTCTTCTCATACCTGGAAATGACAATACAGAAATCCATATGGAAACATAAATGACCACAGATAGCCAAAATAATCCTTAGCAAAAGAAACAAAGCAGAAGGTATCACACTTCCAGACTTCAAACCTTACTATAAGGCTTCAGTAATCCAAACAGCCTGGCATTGGTACAAGAACAGACATATAGAACAATGGAACAGAGTAGATTCCAGAAGCAAAGCCTCAATTTCTCAACCAACTCTTCTTTGACAAAGCCTCCAACAATGTCTCCTTTTAAAAATACATTCTACTTTCTTTTTTAAATGTTTACTATAATTCAGTTTTAAAATTAACATTCTGGTAAATTTTCTAGAGAAATGAAAGTCAAGAAACAGAAAAACATCTTTTTTAAGTTTCTGTCCTGTATTATAAAATATCTTCCAAAAAATATGTATTGTAAGAATTTTCTACAGAAATTCGTGTTAATTTGCCAATTTTTAAAATTTCAGATATTTCGAGAAAAGCTTTTATTTTGACTGATGAGTCAATGAACACCATTAGAATATATCTGCCTTGTATCTTTCTCAAATTATCTGTGACTATTTTAACTCATTATTATGAAAAATTGGATGCAATTGGTTATTTTAAAGCATCAATGTCTTTTCAAAAAGTACTAAAAACAAAGCTAAATTTTGAAAAATCTAAAGTTCTGACAGACTTGAATAATATTACATATAATGTTTTTAATGGAAACAGTGTTCACCTTAGCTAATTTCAGTCACCCATCTCATACTCCAACTTTCTATCAGGAGCATCCCCTACACCTGAATTGTGCATTGATTGCCAATACCACTTGGTATTTGTACTGCTTTCTATGAGTGACAGTAAATGAGAATCATTTTGAAAAGCCTAGAGAAGTTTCCATGTGACTTCTAGTTTTATTCCAATATGGTAAGAAAATATACTTGATATGATTTCATTTTTTTTTCAAAATATTTTTACTTGTTTTGTGGCACAACATATGGTCTATCCCTGAGAATGTTCCATGTGCTGAGAAGAAGAATGTGTATTCTGAAGCTGTTGTCATCTTTTTTATAATAACTATTCTAACAGATGTGAGATAATATTTCATGATAGTTTTCACAAAATTAGTAATGGCAAATGCTTTTTCTTACACCAAAAAAAAAAAAAAATATCTTTAGGCATCACAGTACCTGATCTATATTTCAAAATATATTTAAAAGGTATAGTAATCAAAGAAGATGGTACTGGAGTTTTTTTAAAGACATTTAGATAACGTAACAGAACTGAGAGCCTGCAAATGAACCCACACGTTTACACTAAATTTATTTTTTAAAAAGTTACCAAGAACTCACGATGGGGAAAGAAAAATTTTTCAATAAATGGCATTAGGGAAACTGAATATTCACATGCAAAGGAATAAAATTGAATTCTTAACTTGTACCATAAATAAAAATCAACCCCAAATGGATAAAATATTAACGTATAATACCTGAAAATGTAAAACTACTAGAAAAAAAATCATAGGAAAAATGCTTCACAATAATGATAATAGATCATGACTTTTCAGGTTTGACTCCAAAAGCATGGGGAACTCAAACTCAATATCATAAAACAACTCGATTTTTTTTTTAAATTGGCAAAAGTCCTAAATAGGCACTCCTCAAGAGGAGACATACAAATTGCCAAGTACATTAAAAAAAAGTCACTAATCATTAGGGAAAGGCGCATATTGTGCCACAGATAATGATTTCCTTTACAAGAAAAGAGTCATTGTAATTTATTTGTGTTTTTGACCTCTCTCTAACACAAGCACACATAATCTGTGCAATGTTTTATAATGGAGAAAATCTAACTGTGGAGTCAGACAAGATGACTTAATTCCTGTATTATCTTTTACTGGATTTCTACCTTTTGATCTTTCGCCCTTCCTTTACTTATTTGTAAAATAATATATAAAATTTTTATATTTATAGTATATAAAATATTATTTATTATCTTGCAATTTTTGATGAGTGTTTATCAAGATAATATATGTATTCAAGTGTCTGGTAACCGATGCTCATAAATATGCAAATCCTATATTACTTACTATTTAGGAAACAAAAATAAACCTTTGACCATTAATAAAAATGATAATAGTACTATAATGCTAGTGCTATGAAGGCTTATTGTGTGCTGGACGATTGATTTAAGATGTTTAGATAGACTGAAGCCTAACAACCACATGAGGAAGATACTATTGTTATTTTTATTTTACAGATGAATTTCTAGTTATTTAGAAAGGTAACGTCCATTCTATTTAATAATAAAGTCAGGATTTGAACACAGAAAGTCTGATTCTAGAGAATGTGTTCTTAATCTTTATTATTATACTGTTCATTTCTGTACTTTTCTCAATAAAGAAATCGTGAAGAAGATAAAGTAATTCTTAACTTACTTTTCTATTTGTTTAATTAACAGTACCATTAAAATATATTATTATAATATGTATTGGTATATTTTAAGCTAAAAGGCTTTTGTAGTCAAACTAAACAAAATATATAACATTGTTTCCAGCACTAGCAATAAACATTTATTTTCCAGCACTAGCAATAAACTTAAAATGTATTTATATACCAGAGTCAAAAATTATTTATCAGAAAAAAAAATCTGTTAGCTGGGACTACATGTGCTTACCAAAATAAAGTGTTAATGAAAACTTTTTTTTTTGATTGTTAAAAATTCTGTCAGTTTAACATATAGTTTTTTGTTTGTTTTTAATTCAGATGAGTTTGGGGGTATTTTTTTCTAGCATTCTACAGCTCCT